CATTAATATGTAAGCATGTGTGTCTACACTATTAATGTAGATATAATTAACATATACATATAGGTATATGAATATACCTATATGTATATGTTAATTATTTATATATATATATATGTATATATATATTCATGTGTGTGTTACGTAGACATTTGTGTGCGTGTAAAACTGTAAACTGTATAAATATTTTAACATAACCTTCACATGTATGTACACGATTTATCATTATTACCTTTTATAATACATGTATGTATGTATTCATCGTACAGACATCGATACATCAAGACCGATCCTCATACTGCCTGATACTTGGATTTTTGAGTGTTAAATCGTCACGGCCTATACTCACCATGAAATGGAATTTTCACCAGGCTGGCTAGCTAGCTAGCTGGGTAGCTAGCTACGTGGCTAGCTGGCTAGGTGGCGCGTAGGCTCTTCCGTAACCGGCTGTTGCTGCATCCGCAATATGCGTATACGCGGTACGATGCTGCTCTAAAGTTGGTGCTCCGCGTGCGCGGACTGTCCAGCTGTTGCTGCATCCGCAATACGCGTACGCGGTATAAGGTATCTACATAGGTATTGAGTTCCGCGTGCGCGGACTCTCCCACTGTTGCTGCATTCGCAATCTGCGTACGCGGTACAAGACACCCATATACAAGTCAGATACTTCTCGCGCGTGACTTACGGACTTGCGTAAGGAATTGGAATCAGTAGCGCAATCTCTTGGCTGTTTGAAAAAATCGTACCATTTATATATGTACTTTAGTCAACTATGTGTTTGTTGTATACTCGTTCTCAAAGTCTGCTCGAGCCAACCTGACGGCAAAAAAGCACCAATCTAGTTTGGGGCACAATGTTGCCGACCCAAGCTTCCATCTTTTTTATCCGCGAAAATTCAAATTTCAATTTGTTAGTTTTTTATTTAAATGAAGAATATATTGGTATAGAAAGTAAAGGCGGAAAAAAAATTCACACTGTGCCTACGCACTGTACGACCTTTACGAAGCTTGTCACGTCTTTTCCGGCCATGTCTTCTGCGTTGGTCTTAATAATGGATTAAGTACCATCAAACCTTTTTTTTTATCACTGTTGGGCTAAAATATCATACATTAGTATCGACATTAGTACCAAAAAGCCTTTTTTGCGGGGCCCATAAATCTATTACTATATGTATGGAAATGATATTTACTAAAAAATTATCTCTCTGGCGACATCTGTGCAGAGGTCAACTACTAATGCTTACTAGTGACCTCATACTTATACAAGGCTCCTACGGTCAGAAAACCTAGCATAGATGGCGCTAAGAGAAAAATGGCGTCACTGTCTTACTTTTACTATATTAGTGATGACAACGTACTGTAATGCAAACGTACTTTTGTGACAATATATTCGTAATGCTGACCTCAGGAGATCACGGATAGTACATTTTTTTGTCAAATCTATGCTGAGTTAACGGACCGTAGGGACCTTATATAGCCTACAGTAGCTATAATGTGAAAGTCAGTTCAGGAACAATATAATGGGTGTTTTCCGCAATCGTCACCAGCAAGTAATTTAGGTTGCGCTCTACGTTACCGTCAAATCAGTAAGTCAACTAACTTGAATTAACTGGCGCTCTATTCCGTAATCTGGCCAGTTAAAACAGCAGACGACGTGGAAGTCGAGAAAAAAGTGAAGATTTCATCGCAGTTGACTGTCGTCTGCTATTTTAACTGGCCAGATTACGGAACAGAGCGCCAGTTAATTCAAGGTAGTTGACTTACCGACCTGACGGTAACGTAGAGCGCAACCTTAAATTACTTGCTGGTTACGATTGCGGAAAACACCCAATATCTATAATTCTAGCCTTTAACACAGGTGACAGTTGAAAGATATCCAAGAATGTTACTTAATTTTTACGCTCTCCGTGTTTAAGCCATGAACAAAGGTATAGTATTTAAAAAATTTTGTATAGTTTATAATTTAATATCGAGACTAATGTTTAACATACCAAGTTAAGGTAATGGATTCAAAATAATACCATATGTTAGTTTCATGTGTTCTACATTACCTACAGGTGTTACATGGGGATTTCGATTTTAAAGTATATATATATAAATATGTATAAATTTTTAAATACATTTTTATGTAAAAAAACGAAAGTAAAACAGTTTACTTTAGATGGTAAAAAAAAAAATCAAAACAGTTTTTTACTATTTTATAATAATAGAAGTTTGTTTATAATTGATTTATTTCGAAAAAAAATTTTTTTCTGTCAGATTGGAGAATTATTTTTGTTATTTAATGAATTTAGGTAACAGTTATATAAAAGTAGTTACTGTAATATATACGTGGGTTTTAACATTTTTGGAGATCTATGCATTCCAAGAAATAAACTCCTAAAAATTAATGAACATCTTATTGCAGTACTTTTTTCAGATACATCACGACTTTTGATCTATTGATTTTTTGTGATGAATGAATTTAGGTAACAGTTATATAAAAGTAGTTACTGTAATATATACGTGGGTTTTAACATTTTTGGAGATCTATGCATTCCAAAAAATAAACTCCTAAAAATTAATGAACATCTTATTGCAGTACTTTTTTCAGATACATCACGACTTTTGATCTATTGATTTTTTGTGATAAAAGAAAAAAAAGCAAAATAGATCTAAAAACCAAGGAACTCCACTGAAATTGCAAAACCGAGGAGGAAAGTCAGTGAAAAAAGAGAAAAGAGGGAAAAACTGTGGTGAGGGAGATCAAGAGAAATGCGAATTTCTCCAGCTAAATAGTAGAGTGAGAGAGCGTAAGGTTGCCCTCGAATCCGGAAAAGAGACAGCATCCAAGCAACGAAGATGAGAGAGAGAAAGAGTCGTGCAACGTAAAAGCGTAGTCGTGTCGCACGTACGCTCGTCTGTCGGCGACGTGCTTGGCATCGCGAATCGCGCGAGTCTTTCTCTCTCGCCAACCCCCAGCCCCTGTAAATAGGCATGTATGTATAGTTACCTTATACTCCACGTGGTATAGCAATGCACCTTATCCTCGAGCCTCCGATCCCGCTCCACTGTTATCTCACCCTCCTACACTGTACCCCCTTTTCCTTTTTTCCTTTTCTATTATTTCTTTGGCCCTTTTTTCTATTTCGATCTTTTTCTGACTCTCATGCCCCCTTCCGTTTTTTTAAGACTTTGAGTCTGCTTCTATGTTGCAGTCTAATTGTATACTTTAGTGCTTGGCTATTTAAGTTTTCATGATTGATCAATTACGTAGTTACTGTGTTTAGTATTAGTTTACATATGTTACTAACAAAGGACTTCAATATATTTTTATTGAGTACACAGTGCTAATTTTACTTAACGTATGGGCTCTCCCTCTCCCTTCCTTACAAATAAATTGATTTTCTGACAAACTTAAATTTTTTCAAGATTTTTTGGCTTATTTTACGTCGTAAAGGTCCCCTGTGATTTTTTGCGAAATTTACGGTGAACTAAGAAAAATTTGCAAAGTTCAAAAAAATCGTGTGTGTGTGTGTGTGCGCGCCCGCGCGCGATTTCCTTGAACTTTATAAATTTTTCTTAGTTCACCGTACATTTTGCAAAAAATTACAGGGGATCTTTTCGGCATAAAATAAACCAAACAATCTTGAAAAAATTTTGGTTTGTTAACAGGCAAGCTCTAAAGACCTGATGAGAATTCATGAAAGTAAGACAAAGTTTTCTAAATATGGTACTAACATCACCTCTAACGTCTGTACTGGTATTTAATTTCTTAGTGATTAGCGTAATATTCATAGTATGCTCAAAAACTAGAACTTACCAAGTTTAGAGTATCCAGTTTTTTACAATCAATGTAACTTATTCTGCGTGATGAATGTAACTTTTAAACATGTATATGTCAAAGTAGAGTAAACTGTTTTTTAAATACTGGCGACCCAGCCCCAGAAATGATGTTATATTAACATGCAAATAAATGTTTATGTATATCATTGACCAGTTCTGATGGAAACAATTATAAATGTTGTACATCGACAACTTAACAAAGGAGCTGTACGTTACGTATGCTTTAAAAAAGGCCATTAAAAAAATTATGCTGCTCAAAAAGCGTTACTTGAATAACGAATTCTAATTAAAACACTATTTTTTGCAATGAAACATGTTTAGTAGGTGTGTCTTACTTCACTGTTAATCTACATTTTCTTTTAAAATTGCATCTCTGCTGTTTCCAGAATATCTTTTAATTCATTTGTAACATATTGAGAAGACTTTTTAACTTCTGATCAAGTTTCTTATCTTTCAGATACTTTAGATACCTTTTAATCTAGATTGGTTTGTATCTTGCAGTTTTCACCGGTTTTCGAAATACTATAGAAATTTTTAGACAGATGTTTAGTTATACTTAAAAAAGATATCAAACCCTACTATGAAACAACTAACAAGGAAATGTTTTCCAGACATATCATCAGAAATGAAAGCACAGTTGTTATGGAACGTTTGTTGAAAGATGGATATGATATTTATGCACGAGATTTTCAAGTGAACACACCTCTTTTAATTGCAGTAGCATGTAACAATGCAGATATTGTAAGATTTCTATTGGACAAAAAGGTTTGAATCAATCTTTCAAATCACAACGGTAACACTCCTTTGTGGATTGCATTGAAGAAATCAGGTAATTTTGTTTCAACAAAAAAAAACAACATAATTTTGTAATAAAATTCATAAATCAAGTTTAGATGCTTATTAAATTTGGAATCACTCGAAAAGTTAATGTAATCTTAGTTTTCTTACTAATATTACGTACGATAGTATGTAGCAATGTGTCCGTGCGCCCCTTCTACTTTGAGCCCTAAAGGGTAGAAGAGCAGGGGGAATGAGGAGGTAGTAGATTGTAAAATCTTTAGTTTTAACAAATCAACTGTTTTTTTTCGTCATACTTCAATGTAAAAGAAGTATGAAAATTGTTAAATTAGCTTTAAAACGTTTACTTTGTATTAGATTAGTTTGTATTTAAATGTTTTTTAAAGCTAACTTTTTACAAATTTTTTCAACATTTCTTCTAACTTCAACAGATTAAATTTATCTCTTTCAATAAGCATGTAGATATTGGATATGTTTGAAAAATATCTAAGTTAAAAAAGTTGTGTAATATTCAATATAAGTTTGAAAAAATTTTCAAAATTTTAAAAGCTAATTGCTGTTATTGAACAATTGTAAGGTAACTGTAAAAATCGAGGCTTTCGTAGCTAGTTTTCAGCAGAATACAGTATATTTAATGGTAAATTAAAATAAACTAGGTAAAAACGTTAACCCCCCATTAGAACTCATTTAAGGCCGAAATTAATGAACGCTCTTCTTCAAAACAGCACTAACATTGAGAAGTACATGTTTTATTTTATTCTACATGTTTAAGATTATTATTTATCTTAAAAAAATACTTATTGAAAAAAGAAGTTCAATTAAGAAAATGGATCTTAGACATAACAATATTAATTTTTTGCAGTATCTAAAGCTATCATTGAAATGCTGATTGATAGTGGGGTCCATGTTAACATTGCAGATAGATGGGGTGATATGCCACTGACGTATGTTGTGCAAAGAAATAATACTCCTGTGGCAATCATGCTCATCGACGCTGGAGCTTTAGTGAACATTAAAAATAAAAAAGTATTGAGTCCGTTAATTTATACTGTAAAAAACAATAACATTTCTCTAGCCAGCATACTTATCAAAAGTGGAGCTTTGATCAATGATGCTGATAAGTATGATAATATTCCGTTGATACATGCTGTAAGAAATATGTACACAACTAATCATTAAGGAAAGACTTGCTTTTATTATTTTATTGAATATCAATCTTCAATTCATCCAGGAATGAAAAAAGTTTTAAACAAAGGACCAATGACTTACCAGTTTCCAAATGTGCCAGTATATTTTCTAACAACGAATGTCAAAGAACAACTTGATGAATCACTTTACAAAAGAGAAATGTGTAGGGCAACTTCAGCATAGCAATAATACACTATAAAAGCTTTTTTTACATAATTTTTTCAAAAAGTTTTGAAAATATATCTTTAGTTAACGCAGTGTTTCATTGTTTTAGTTTCAAAATGTTTGATTTTTTTAACTGACGCTTCTTTAAAATTATTTATAGTTGGACATAGTCTTGTAGCTGATTAGATATGGAAGATTAAAATTATGATAAGAAAACGGAACTTATTGTAAATATGTATGTACCGATTCTGATGTTGGTACCAATACTGATTGAACTTTTCTCTAATACGGTAGATCCGCTTTTAACGATTGTTAGGACCATGCTCATCCTGATTTTTAATTGAGAATTGAAGTAACTTCGTTATATACATTTGAGTCTGCTTCTATGTTGCAGTCTAATTGTATACTTTAGTGCTTGGCTATTTAAGTTTTCATGATTGATCAATTACGTAGTTACTGTGTTTAGTATTAGTTTACATATGTTACTAACAAAGGACTTCAATATATTTTTATTGAGTACACAGTGCTAATTTTACTTAACGTATGGGCTCTCCCCCTCCCTTCCTTACAAATAAATTGATTTTCTGACAAACTTAAATTTTTTCAAGATTGTTTGGCTTATTTTACATCGTAAAGGTCCCCTGTAATTTTTTGCAAAATTTACGGTGAACTAAGAAAAATTTGCAAAGCTCAAAAAAATCGTGTGTGTGTGTGTGCGCGCGCCCGCGCGCGATTTCCTTGAACTCTATAAATTTTTCTTAGTTCACCGTACATTTTGCAAAAAATTACAGGGGATCTTTTCGGCATAAAATAAACCAAACAATCTTGAAAAAATTTTGGTTTGTTAACAGGCAAGCTCTAAAGACCTGATGAGAATTCATGAAAGTAAGACAAAGTTTTCTAAATATGGTACTAACATCACCTCTAACGTCTGTACTGGTATTTAATTTCTTAGTGATTAGCGTAATATTCATAGTATGCTCAAAAACTAGAACTTACCAAGTTTAGAGTATCCAGTTTTTTACAATCAATGTAACTTATTCTGCGTGATGAATGTAACTTTTAAACATGTATATGTCAAAGTAGAGTAAACTGTTTTTTAAATACTGGCGACCCAGCCCCAGAAATGATGTTATATTAACATGCAAATAAATGTTTATGTATATCATTGACCAGTTCTGATGGAAACAATTATAAATGTTGTACATCGACAACTTAACAAAGGAGCTGTACGTTACGTATGCTTTAAAAAAGGCCATTAAAAAAATTATGCTGCTCAAAAAGCGTTACTTGAATAACGAATTCTAATTAAAACACTATTTTTTGCAATGAAACATGTTTAGTAGGTGTGTCTTACTTCACTGTTAATCTACATTTTCTTTTAAAATTGCATCTCTGCTGTTTCCAGAATATCTTTTAATTCATTTGTAACATATTGAGAAGACTTTTTAACTTCTGATCAAGTTTCTTATCTTTCAGATACTTTAGATACCTTTTAATCTAGATTGGTTTGTATCTTGCAGTTTTCACCGGTTTTCGAAATACTATAGAAATTTTTAGACAGATGTTTAGTTATACTTAAAAAAGATATCAAACCCTACTATGAAACAACTAACAAGGAAATGTTTTCCAGACATATCATCAGAAATGAAAGCACAGTTGTTATGGAACGTTTGTTGAAAGATGGATATGATATTTATGCACGAGATTTTCAAGTGAACACACCTCTTTTAATTGCAGTAGCATGTAACAATGCAGATATTGTAAGATTTCTATTGGACAAAAAGGTTTGAATCAATCTTTCAAATCACAACGGTAACACTCCTTTGTGGATTGCATTGAAGAAATCAGGTAATTTTGTTTCAACAAAAAAAAACAACATAATTTTGTAATAAAATTCATAAATCAAGTTTAGATGCTTATTAAATTTGGAATCACTCGAAAAGTTAATGTAATCTTAGTTTTCTTACTAATATTACGTACGATAGTATGTAGCAATGTGTCCGTGCGCCCCTTCTACTTTGAGCCCTAAAGGGTAGAAGAGCAGGGGGAATGAGGAGGTAGTAGATTGTAAAATCTTTAGTTTTAACAAATCAACTGTTTTTTTTCGTCATACTTCAATGTAAAAGAAGTATGAAAATTGTTAAATTAGCTTTAAAACGTTTACTTTGTATTAGATTAGTTTGTATTTAAATGTTTTTTAAAGCTAACTTTTTACAAATTTTTTCAACATTTCTTCTAACTTCAACAGATTAAATTTATCTCTTTCAATAAGCATGTAGATATTGGATATGTTTGAAAAATATCTAAGTTAAAAAAGTTGTGTAATATTCAATATAAGTTTGAAAAAATTTTCAAAATTTTAAAAGCTAATTGCTGTTATTGAACAATTGTAAGGTAACTGTAAAAATCGAGGCTTTCGTAGCTAGTTTTCAGCAGAATACAGTATATTTAATGGTAAATTA